CTGCTGCTTCTGCGGGGGCCTTCTTTCGTTGGCGGGCGCCGCCGCTCCGGGGGCATGAGCTCCCGCGCCCCCCGCGCGGCTTCCGCCGGGCGCCCCGCGCCCCAAGCTATTTTCTTACATGCCCATTTCATCCCTGAAGAAGGGACATGGATTCTGGGCACTTCCCATGCAAAGATGTAAAGATGTGGAAAGACCTCTCAAGCTGTGAGGACCTGGCCTCTTCTGCTGACTTCGCCAGCCTTGCCTGGTTATATGGCTCTGCAGGATCTGTCTTCACAGTGTTCTGGGGTTCCACTGAGTATAGGCTAGCCAGAAAGGTGGTATTACTAAAATGATCTTCGTACCCATAGACAAGTGGGTCAAGAGGGTCTTCATGGTGAAACGATGCTGGACTTTGTCCAAGCAGGTCTGAGAGTCATCAACCAGCTCTGAACTCAGTATGTGCGTAGGGCCCCAGTTTGCCCACCACCCCTCAGGAGTTCCCCACCCACACAGTATACCATCCTTCCCCTTCCTTACGTTCTTCCTTTTAGAGTTTGCTAAGGTCTGGAACCTAAACTATTAGCAAACACTCACACATGCAAAGTAAAACCTAAAAGCTTGACCTGGAGGCTCATTATGGGCCGGGTCACATTTAGGGACCACTCACACAAAGTGATCTCACTGTTGCTAACCCTTATGGCATATCTGTTAGCAATGCTAGACTTTGGCTTCTGAGCTCTAGGACTTGCCACTCAGTGAATGGGTGAGGAATTTGGGGGTGGGGTTGGAGGAGAGAAGGAGATACCAGAGCCTCATCCTAAACTCACCACTGCTCACTTTAACCCACTCACCCAGAGCTAGCAGCTCCCTGTCCTTGCCCAGAGAGCTCTCCTTTGTCCTGTCCTGAGGACTTGGGATGGGACAACTCCTTTTAGTTTGATGGGAGGATAGGCTTGAGGGTAAGACCTACAAGTGACTGGCTCCTTACCTGCCCTCTTCCAGCTCTGTAACCCTGGAAAGTAACTTCACCTCTTAGTTCCCACTTATAAAATAGAAAAAGATTATTCTCTAGTATTTTCTCAGCTGGGATAGGACCTATGGCCTACCAGTTGCCAGCCCTCTCCCTGCAGAATTCATTCTGGATGCAAGGACTGGCAGAACCACAGGAACACACAAACCCTGACTCTCTGTCTCATGTTCTAGGAATTAGCCGACCTACAGAGGGACCCACCTGCCCAGTGTTCTGCGGGACCTGTGGGTGATGATTGTAAGTATCCTCTGTGACTTCCAGCCACAGGAGCCCTACAGTTAAGATCCCACATTTACCGACTGAGCAGTTTATAAGGAAGCCAGCTGGTTCTTTTCCTTTGGTAGTGCGTTGGTTTTTCCTTCATTGGGGTAATGAATTGCTTTTTTATTCCTTGGAACAGTGAATTCCCAGCAGGTGACTCCTCAGGTTACACCCGCAGTGGAACCTCTGCCTCCCTCCTCTGTGGCATGAGAAGGCCAGCCTGTCCTGAGGCACAATGGCTTCCAGAAGGTGCCTCTGACCAAGTCATACTATGGGTATCCATGAAGATACTGTCTCTTTTCTTAGAGGTTTTTGCTGTAGGGCATGTGCGCTTACCAGAAAGCTAGAGAGAGACAGAGAGACAGAAAGCGAGAAATCATCACCCCCCAGGAGGGATGGCCATGCCGCAATCCTTTCTCCATTTTTCTCTCAGGATCTTGGGTACGCACACATACACACGTGCCTGGCCTAAGTTTAAGCCACCAGGTCCAGCACTCAAATCATGGCCGACTACATGGGAGTCCAGCCACTTAACAATTACACCAATTACTGCTGGCCCCTCCATGTCGATACTATCTTGACACTGGTGGTAGGGGACCTGATATAGCTGCCCTCAGGAGCAGAGCTGGAGGCTGATGGGGTAGATGGTGGACTACTTGCCTCTTGGGAGACTGAAGGCACAGCTCCAGGCCAGGCAGCTGCTGGGTAGGGGGTCCAGAAGTGACACAGCTAGCCCTCTGGGTCCCATATGGCCAGCACCAGGGTTTCCAGCCTCACTCATCTTGCCTCCTGTCTGTAGGCTTTTTGGGTTCTGTGACACTATCTTTTACTGTGAGGCTGCAATAGCCACAGCTGTGAGAAAAATAGGTAGGGAGAGAAGACACTTTATGTCAAAGGAAGGTGGTGTTGCAGAAACAGACCCCAGATAATTAAACTGTTCTCAAACAGAGCTTTGTGCCTGTGTTCACAGCACTTTTGTTTACAGTGGTCACAAGATGGTGACAGCCCAAGTAAGTGCACATCAGTTGGCAAGTGGATAAACATGACATGGTTCTAACTCATCCTACAACACGATGAACCCTGGAAATCTTCCCAGGGAAATAAGCCAGACAGAAAGTGACGCATACTGTGGGATTCCGTTCACAGAATACCCAGGCCAGATAGATTGATGGGACAGAAAGAGGTGATGGGGTTGGCAGAGCAGGAAGGCAGCCTGAAACACTGGGGGCTCAGGTGTTATGTACAGCCACAGGGGATCCACCCTAGGAAAGGACGAGGCTCCAGAGTGAATCGAGGGGACAAAGAATAGGAAGGTTTGGAAGATCAATATGGAAAGTGGCTTAAGTCTTGCAAAGAGAGGCTAGAATTGTAGTTATTGGCACCTGTGTGGTAAAGGATTTAATCTTGCCCTGGAAAAGATCTAGCCTTTGTCCTCAACCCCTGGGAGGTGATCACTAAGATATTGTGCCAGATAGAACTGTCTTTGTTTGCCTGGAGGTTTTGACTCACACCAACAGTGTGATTTTTGGCCTAACTGGCCATGCCAGGTAGACTGAGCATGTCATCTGTGCAGAGATTTTGGACATACCTGGGGCTGGAGACTGAGATCAGCCCAGTGAGCACTCAGTCATGGAGCCCAAAGTACATGAATACTGGGTTCAAGGGAACTTCCCTAGCTGGCCATATTCTGCTATTACATCCTACTCCACAGGGACAGTGGGTGCTTGTATTAGGACCCATTAGTATTGTGTTAGTCTGTTTTGTTTCTTGTAATAAACCAGACCTGGAAGCACAGTGGCCTGCTAAGAGATCTTGGAGTCTCAGCACATAGTCAAACCTGAAGGTGGTTTTGGGAAGCCTGACTACACATCTGATGTCACAGAGAGGGCAATCTGGGTAGACAGCCCCCTCTAGGCCCAGTAGGGCCTCTTCAGCAGTGATTACTGTTCTCTCACATGCCATCTTTCCTTGCCTTGCAGTGTTCCACTGGCAGGCCACCATCATGGGCCCGGTAGGTACCCCTGTGGGCGCCACTCCTCCTTACTTCCTGCACTTCATATTTAGCGCACGCATCGACCTCTTTCTGTTTCTCGGCTTTCCAGAATGACAGTCCTTACCAAGGAGGCGTGTTCTTCCTGACCATCCACTTCCCTACAGATTACCCTTTCAAGCCCCCAAAGGTAAGGCTCCCCAGCTCCCTGACATCCAGATGGAGGACAGCAAATGACGAAAGCCCTTCTCAAGTCCCTAGTGAAAGGAACCACAAATGTGCCTCTCACAAGGGCCTGTTGCTCCTCCCTGAAGGCTCTCACTTTTGAAACAGTCTCTATTGTAAGCAAGGGTCAGGTGGTGAGCTGGCCTCCTCATACAGTTATGGTTTCCTGATGCTCTTCGCAGTCCTGGCAAAGTCAGGTTCTGTTTCAGGGCCCATTTCCATTCTTTGCAGGCCCTTACTTGCAATCTTGGACAGGGCGTCTCAACTGGGGTGCTTTTGCCACCTGCTCTTGGGAAACATCTTGGGATATTTTAGGTTAAGAAAACTGGCAGGGGTTGGGGAAGCAGGGAGAAACTTGCTATTAATATCTAGTGGGTGAAGGCCAGAAATGCTGCTCAACTCTCTGTAGCACACAGAATACCCCACTTTCCACAACAGAATGACCTAGCCCAAGTGTCACCATTGCTAAGGTGGGATACCCTGGTCTTGGGCCCTGGCTGATCATCTCTTCTTACAACTGCAGTTTTCTTTATGCAGTTAGAAGTCTAGCAGGCCTTCCTATACCCTTCAAACCCACACTATTCCCCTCAGTGGAGCCTCCAAGGACCATGGGGGAGAGACTATGGAACTGCCTGGCCACACTGCCCTGCACATCTTAGGGTGTAGCTGGGGTGTCCTGCCTGCAGTTGCCTTGCCCCAGCACTGCCTACATTCACTCCCTGGGGCTTCACTTGTCAGGGAAGAACCTGCCCTGTCTTCCCTCAAGCTCTGTGCCATTGAGGAGAGAGAAAATACTCAATGTGTGAGCTGGTTAGCACTGCAGAGAAGCAAGCTGGGTCGGCAACAGGAGCTAGGGTACAGGGAGATCATCCTGAGGTGGGAGCACCATGAAGGCTGGAACAAAGGAGAGATTCACAGGGAGTACATCTGTGTGCACGAGGAATCTTGGGGCTATGAGGAAGGCCAGGGGGCCCAGCCCTAGGGGTGGGGTCCCCAAAGCTAACATATGAGCATCTACTGGGGCTGACAAAGGAGTGATTTGATGGGACCTACCTGCCCAAAGGATCATGCTGTCATGAGTGGGATAGGAACAGTGGTGAGGCTTGGCAAGACTCCACAGTCATAGTACAGCTGGTTGTGGGGGGTCAGAAGAAGAGGGAGGTACAGATGTTAGAAAGTGACACCCACAGGACAGGCTGTAACTCACATGTGGGCCCTCGGTATACATGGTACTTTTAAAAATATTTTTATTTATCATTATTATTACCTTTTTGTTTTGTTTTGTGATTTATTTTTTATTTATTTATTTATTTATTTATTTATTTTTTATATTATTACCTTTTAATTTGCTGTAGGGCACATGTGCTCACCAGAGAGAGTCAGAGAGAAAAGGAGAGTGAGAAAGCAAGCTGCCACATCTGGAACTCGAATCACAGTTGCTTATGTGGGAGTCCAGCACCATAACCACCACCCTACCTCCTGCTCCCCATGGTACTTCTTTTTTTTTTTTAAAGAATTATTTATTTCATTTATTAATTTTTTTAATTTGACCAGAAAGAGACAGAAAAAGAGAGAAAGGGAAAGTGAGAAAGGAAGCCACCAGGTCAGGGACTCAAACCACAGTCTGCCATGTGAAAATCCAGCACGTTAACCACCATGCCACCTGCCGGGTCCAATACTTTTTAAAAAATTATTTATTTATTATTTTATTTTATTATTATTATTATTCATTTTTATCAGAGAGAGATGCACAGAGAGCAAGAGGGAAAGTAAGAAAGCAAGCTGCCAGGTCCAGGAATTGAACCACAGTCAGCCATGTGGGAATCTAGCGCTCTAATCACCACGCCACCTGCCAGTCCCACAATACTTTTTTTTTTTTGGAGAGGTTTTTGCTATAGGGTGTGTGCACTCACCAGAAAGACAGACAGAGAGAGAGAGACAGAAAGCGAGAAATCACTCCCCTAGGGGGATGGCCACACCGCAATCCCTTCTCCTCCAGTCTCCTCTCGGGATCTTGGGCATGCTCGCACACACACCCGGCGTGAGTTTTAAGCCACCGGGTCCGGGACGCGAATCGCAGTCGACTACATGGGAGTCCAGCGACATAGCCATTACGCTAACTGCTGGTCCCCCACAATACTATTTTTTAAGAAGAAAGATTTTTGCTATAGGGTACATGTGCTTGCTGGAGAGACAGAAAGCGAGAAATCATCCCCCAGGAGAGTTGGCCACACTGCAATCCCTTCTCCTCTATTCTCCTCTTGAGATTTTGGGCACACATGCACATGTGCCCAGCATGAGTTTTAAGCCTCCAGGTCTGGGACTTGAACCATGGTTGGCCATGTGGGGAGTCCAGCGATGTAACCATTGCACCATCTGCTGGTCTCCCCATAGTACATTTTTTAAAGTTTATTTTACTGAGAGAAAGAAAGAGGAAGAGGACATCCTCGACAGGATTTCATTACACTGCAGTCCTCTTCCCCTGCCCTCTAGCTCATCGTGATCTTGTGCATGTGGGCACCTGGTGTGTTTCAGGTCGACTCAGTATCTAAACTCATGGTTGGCCACATTAATTCCAGCACTACAGCACTGTACATTGCCACCTATGCCGCTGCAGCTGGGCTAATTTATGTCACCTTTTTTTTTCCTACGATTTTTGCCACAGGGCATATGTACTCACGAGAGAGAAATGTTAAAAAAAAAAGAAATCACCTTCTAGAGGGGGTGGTCACTGCAATCCCTTCTCCATTCTCCTCCTGGGATTTTGGGTGCACACACACACATACACCCAGGATGATTTTCAAGCTGCCAGGTCTAGGGCCCAAACCATAGGCAGCCATGTGGGAGTCCAGTGCCTTAATCACCACACCACCTGATGGCCCCAAAATACTTTAATTTTTAAAACTTTTATTTTCAATTAACTTTAGACTCAGAAAAAAGTTGAAAATAATACAGAGAGCTTCCCTATGTTGCCATATGTGGTCCTGGATGACAGCAGTCAAGACCAGGGACCAACATGATCTCGGGACTTTAAAATATGCTAAAGACATAGTTCAGAACATGCCAATTCCCACTAACACCTTGGGTTCCTGGACCCATTTATTGTCAGGTTGTCTCCTTGTGGCAGTCTGTAGTAGTACCTCGATATCCCTGGTCTTTCATAATCAATGCTATTGTCAAATGTCCCCCTTTGGAGCCTAGAACATCTTTCCAGGAATAAAGTTACATGTCTCAATGTGACCCACTCGGGAGCCTAAGTTGGTTCCTAGCCCATAGCCCCTGTACAGTGTCTCACAACTCTAGGTGGGCCCTGATCACTCAGTGGCTCATCCACAGCTCTGTTCATCTTGGCCACCAGAGGCCACTTGTGCCTGGGTATTAAGTCATGGTTAAACTCATTCCAGATTCTGGAGGCCTTCTCAGCATTGGGCAAGGCAGTGGGGTGTGCTGGGCAGGGCAGATAGATGCTAAAGTAGCTCTGTGAGCTGGTACATGTGGGCTCTTTCATGAGGTTCCTCTGATCCTGGCCCCTCTTTAGTCCCTGTAGAGAGTCCATAGCCAAGTCTTACAAGATGGTGCTGTTGCAGCTTCTGTCACCATTTGCATGTCAGCAGCTCATAAGCTATGGTCTTGCAGTGCTCTTGTGCATTTTCAGGCGCTCTCTCTGCCCAAGGACAAAGTGTAAACAGTGACTAAATAAGTTTCTTTCTTCCATGAGAGAGAGGGAGACAGAAAGAGAGACAGGCAACCCCAACAGGGTGTTCACACTGCAATCCATACCCAGTCTTAGCGGGCCCAGATCACAGGTGCATACTCACGCTCAGTGTGCTTAGGGAGGTCCCAGGACATGAACTCCAGACCTTTCCTATCTCAGTCCAGTTGTTACCACAGCACCACCACCTGGCTCTGAATGAGCTGGTGAGTTAGAAGATGGAGTTGATACTGTACAAGAGAAAAGGTTGCTTCTGTCTTTTTAAAATTGTAAGGGGAAAAAAAAGCTGAGGGAAATCACCAGGTTTATATTTTGGCAAGGAAGTTGTTTTTGTTGTTGTTGTTGTTGTTTTTTTTTTTTGAGAGGTTTTTGCTATAGGGCGTGTGGGCTCACCAGACAGACAGAGAGAGACAGAGAGATAGAAAGCGAGAAAATCACCCCCCAGGAGGGATGGCCACACCGCAATCCCTTCTCCTCCATTCTCCTCTCGAGATCTTGGGCACGCACGCATGCGCCTAGCATGAGTTTTAAGCCACCGGGTTCGGGACGCGAACCATGGTCGACTACATGGGAGTCCAGTGACATAGCCATTACACTAACTGCCAGTCCCTCCATGGCAAGGAAGTTTTGACAACAGGAGGAATCTGGCAAGGTTGCATGGCCTCCTTCTAGGAGATACTGAGACAGTTAATGCCCAACACCCTTTGAAGTGTGTTCCTTCCTGGGAGGTCATATGGTAACAGATGTCCAGGCTCATATACAGCCCTTATTGTCTCATGTTCTGAAGTGAATTCTTCAAATACAAAAACACAACGAACAACTTATTATAGACTGTCTCAGACACACAGATAGTTGTAGGTAATTATAAACGGTATTTGCACATTCACCTATCCTGGGAAATAGGACCATGGCTACCCCTGTGCAGGATCCCTGCTGGCCACTGGGGTGGGGGTAGCTCTGAGGTGGGCCCCATTCTTGTCATACTCCTATGATGGTGCAGGCTGCATCAGACTCAGTGCTCACACATCATGGGACTGACTCTCTGGGTCCCTCAGTCTGTCCCTGTATATAATGAGGATCCTGAGGTCCTGGACAGTCATTCAAAGAAGTGACTTGTGGACAGTTAGGAGGAAAAAACCCAATGGTATGCAGTGAAAACAGGGCCTCTTTGTTTCCTCCCTCCAGCTTTGGCCAGCTCTCCACAGAGTTGCAAGGCCTCCTGTGCTTGCTTCTCTCTGTGCATCCTCCCCACCACACAGGCCTGCAGTATGTTCCCTAACTTGTTGCACGAAGTGGAGAAGACCTTACCAGGAGGCTGCATCTCACTTTACCCATTAGCAGCACATCTCAGAGATTATTCTGCAGATGCACTTGACCAGCACTCGCTCTCTCTGAGCAGCTGTAGAATATTTTGTTGTGTGAGACCAGCAAATGGCATAGTGGCTACATCATTGGACTCTCACATGGCCAACCACACTTTGAGTCCTGGATTCAACAGCTTGAAACTCACACTGGGCACATGTGTGTCTGCCCTAATCCCTAGAGGGGAATGGAGGAGAAGGTATTGCAGCTTGGCCATCCCCCCCAGGGGTGATCTCTTGCTTTATGTCTCTCGGTCTTCGTCTGTCTGTCCAGCAAGCACACGAGCCCTGTAACAAAAATCTCTCTTAAAAAAAATGTTCCGTTGTATACATGTAACTTGAATTCATCAGGAACCACCTTGGGGACACTGAGGCTGATTATGTCTTCTGCCACAGTGATATCCCTGCCCACTCAAAATGTGCAGGGGTTGGGACCAGCAGTTAGCGTAATGGCTATGTCGCTGGACTCCCACGTAGTCGACCGCAGTTTGCATCCCGGACCCAGTGGCTTAAACTCATGCCGGGCACGTGTGTGTGCATGCCCAAGATCCCAACACGAGACTGGAGGGCAAGGGATTGTGGCATGACCATCCCCCCTGGGGGGTGATTTCTCGCTTTCTATCTCTATCTCTGTCTGTCCGGCAAGCGCACACGCCCTATAGCAAAAACCTCGCAAAAAAAAAAAAAAAGTGCAAGGGTATTTGAAGGCTGAACTCTGAGAAGGGTGCTTCTGCCAAAGGTGAGATAGAGGTGGGGGAGGACTCGCAGCCTGGGCTTACCTCTGACCATCTATCTGATGTCACCCATGCATCTGAGTGAAATACCAGTGTTATCCTAGCTAGCTAGACTAAATCCACAGCTAAGCAGGGGATTAGAATCAGTTCTGTCTGGTGTTCCCACAGTGGCTCTGTGTCCTCCTCTTCCTCATAGTCAAAGCCATTCTGAAACTTCCCACCACCCACCCTTTTGCTGTTTAGAGGACCTACTGTAGGGGAGATGGTGTCAACATCCTATGTTCAGAATGAGAATCTAGCAGAGAGCATGTGGGGGGCTTCTCTAAGGTCACCCCCTCCTGCTTCCTGTCAGGGCTCGGGTGAGGTCCGGCTCCCCAAGGACTGTGCAGCAAGCTTACCCTCTGCGGGCTCAGTACCGGCTGCTCCTGCTGTGCTTGATTCATGCTCCTGACATTTCTTGGGGTGTCTGACTTGGATCTCTCCTCTCTGCAGGTTGCGTTCACAACCAAAATTTACCACCCCAACATCAACACCAATGGCAGTATCTGCCTTGACATCCTGCGGTCCCAGTGGTCGCCAGCACTGACCGTGTCAAAAGGTAGAGATGCTGAGAGCAGGCTCTGCTGGCCTGTCTCAGCTCATTTACTCCATGCTAACTGGAGCTCAGTGAGAATAGGCAGCTTTCCCAATCACACAGCACCCCTAGCACTGTGCCTCAGGGAAGTCCTTATACCACAGAGAGGTAGCATGCGGGAACCCAGCATACACACCCTGGTGGTTCTCAGCAGTTGTTCATTGGATGCTCAGAACTGTCCCATGGGAGCAAGAGACATGGACTTGATAGAGTGTATCAAGATGGTGGTCCCCATGGATCTGGCATTGAAGAAGGTTTTCACAGAGCTTCAAGCCAAAGTTATTCACACTCAACAGAAGGTGAAGCTTACAGACATACAGATTGAACAGAACGAAAAAACACATCTTACAGAGATTATGACTTTGGTAGATGAGACTAATATGTTTGAAGGTGTAGAAAGAATGTTTATTCTTCAATCAAAGGAGGTAATTCTCAATCAGCTGCTAGAAAAACAGAAAATAGCAGAAGGAAAAATTAAAGAACTGGAACAGAAAAAATCCTACGTGGAATGGCGTGTTAGGAAGCCAAAGACAGTATCTGGGAGATGCTGATGGCCCGAAGGGCACAAAAGGGAATCTCTAGGGGAATCTTTCCTCCTGAGCCATCCCATTCCTGGCAAGTATAGAAGGACCTGCTGGTCAAACAGCTCCTCTTCGCCCCAAAGGATGCTTTATGTGGATGGCCTAGCACCCCCACATTTCCTTTGTCACCTTGAGCCCCTTTTGGGTCCCAGCCCTGTATGTTTTATCCTGGCTCTGCCTGCCACCCTTGCCTGGACACTTCTCTCTCCTGGGCTGAGTCCTGAACTCCTAGGAGAGGCAAATGGGAGCCAGCACAAAGGCATGCTCCACCTAAGCTACTAGACACCCTGGCCTGACTAATAAAGGCCCGTGTCACACCCACAAAAAAGAGACTTGTTCCAGGGACCTCACAGCCAATGGAGAAATGTCCTCTCCCCTAGATAGGGCTGAGTGGGCTGTGGGTGCATGTGAGAGCTGAATGTAGCCTTGGGCAATGGTGGGGTGTGAAGAAACCAATCCAAAAAACATCCATACAGGACTTCAGGCAATAGAGGCACTGCAGATGTGGGCCTGGCAGGTCCAGGGCACTAGGCCAGCTGCTTGGGGGGTGTGAATCCCTGTGGAGGCAGTACTGCAAAGGGCTTGGAGCTGTGGTTCATCACCTTCCTGAGACAGGGAAGTACATGAGGAGAGCTACGAGGTAGAACCAGGCCGTGTAACTGAAGCACAAGGTCAGGAAGGGTGGAGGAAAGCTGTGTGGCAGGGAGCGTGCTTCGGGTGGAGGACAGGAGGCAGGTGCCTGGGGGAACTGTGCCCAGCCTCCAACCCATGGTTTGGGTTTGGAGTCATGTGCTGGGTCTGGAGCCAGGCCAGGGGTGACTGGATACTTCCATCTGGGACCCCAGAATCTCCAGAATACTGCACTGGACACTGAGCTCAGGGCTTTGAAGAGTTCAGAGGGCAGGAAAAATGGGATCTGCACTTGCTTGGTGGCCACAGACCTGGTTCAGAGCCTTGGTATACCCTTTGACCACATGATCCAAGTCTGTGACCTTGGACAAGTCACACAGTTCCTTATTTGGAAACAGCTGGGTCCTCTTTTCTGGCTAGAACCATGGAGGGCATTTAAGAGAAGAAAAAGAAGGTTCCTGCTGCAACAGAAACCAAGAAAAATGTTCCTGCTGTGTCAGGAACGCTTAAGAAAAAGCAAAGGAATTTTGCAAGCTGAAGATCAAGCTCCACAGAAAAAAATTTGCTCAAAAGATGCTTCAAAAGGCAAGGAGGAAGCTTATCTATGAAAAAGCTAAGCACTATCATAAGGAATATAGACAGATGTACAGAACTGAGATTTGCATGGCCAGAGAGGCAAGAAAAGCTGGCAACTTCTATGTACCTGCAGAACCTAAATTGGCATTTGTCACCAGAATCAGAGGTACCAGTGGACTGAGCCCAAAGGTTTGAAAGGTGTTACAGCTTCTTCATCTTTGCCAGATCTTCAATGGCACTTTTGTTAAGCTCAACAAAGCCTCAAGTAACATGCTGAGAATTGTGGAACCATATATTCTATGGGGGTACCCGAACCCGAAGTCAGTAAATGAACTGTTCTGCAAGTGTGGTTATGGCAAAATCAATAAGAAACAAATTGCTTTGACAGATAACTCTGACTGCTCGATCTCTTGGTAAATTTGGCGTCATCTGCATGGAGGTTCTGATTCTTGAAATCTATACTGTTTGAAAACGTTTCAAAGAAGCAAATAACTTCCTGTGGCCCTTAAAAATATTTTCTCCGCAAGGTGGAATGAAGAAAAAGACCACCCATTTTGTAGAAGGTGGAGGTGCTGACAACAGGGAAGACCAGATCAGCAGACTTATTGGAAGGATGAACTAAGGTATCCACCATGATTATTTTTATAATCTGGTCAGTAAATAAACAGTGGCTATTTTCCTCCTCCAAAAAAAAAAAAAAAAAAAAGAAGAAGACAGCTGGTATGGGGCATGGTGGAGTCTGAAACAGTGGGCTCTTCAGGGGGAGGGCTGAGGTTGGGACCCACCACAAAGCTTACTGACCATGGGACATAGAACCAGTGTTTAGGTGAGATGCCCAGGAAGGTGGCTGCTTGGCCAGTAGTGCAGTTTAGGGAGGCTCCCCGTCCCACCTGGTGGCTGTAGTCAACCCAACTTTTCTTTTCTCTGCAGTTCTCCTGTCCGTCTGTTCCCTGCTCTGCGACCCCAACCCTGAAGACCCTCTGGTACCAGAGATAGCCCATACCTACAAGGCTGACAGAGAGAAGTATGTTTCACTTTGGGTTGCCTTTGTACATGACTGCCCTGCAGCTTCTGGTGGTACCTTCACCCTGAGCCAGTGCTTCCACAGGTTCCCATGACATCCTCTCACCCTGCAAGTCTCCATGCACAGCATGTGTGCCTGGGACTTGGACACCCAGCTTGTTCACTAACATGTCCTTCAACTCTGAAGAGGGAGCAGTGATCAAAGCAGTTCTCTCCCTTGGATAGCTTGTCTGCTGCTGCTACTGAACCCTAAAATAGTATTACCAAGCCCTGGCCTGAAGGCCAGCAAAGTCAGTGGTCAGCCAAAAATGGGCTTAGAAAAATCCAACAAGAGAATTCTGTATTGAATTCCAAGGTTGTAGCTAACACAAGGGAATATCTACTTGGATATACTCAAAGCGAGGCTGAAACAAGTTAAGGAAGACACATTGCTGTGGTTGGTCTGCTGGTTGAGCCTCGAAGTCCAGAGTGTGTGAGTGTTTTACTGAAGGACCTTCACTGCCAGTTCTAGACACTGACTGCCAGCCCCAGACTGCATAGTTCTGGCCTCATGGTCAGGCACAGCCATGTGTGCTGCAGTATGTCTGAGCAGGCACAAGGAATTGTCCCACATGTTACTCCGAGTGTTGACAGGACAGGGAGAAAGTGAAGCTATGGTGGGGGCCTATACAGTGGGAGCAGCAGCCCTGTGAGTGGCATGTGGGGAAAGGTATCATTGGCTCTCCAGTGAGTCTTTCAGTTCATTACTTCTGTCTCAAGGAATGTTTATTTTTTAACTTTTATTTTTCTTAAGACCTTTATAGATCTTATTTCCCTCATTGAGGTTTCCTGACTAACAGTCACATTTATTTCAGTTGACTAGATTTTAAATTGTGTTTATTTATTTTAATGGTTATTACGAGGCATTTTGTTTTATTTTATTTATTTATTTATTTTATAGGTTTTTGCCTTACGGCACATGCACTTACCAGAGAGAGAAATAAAGACGGGGAAAAAGAGAAAAGTCACCCCCGAGAGGGGATGACCATGCCACAATCCTTCTCCATTTTCTTCCTGGGATCTTGGGCATGCATACACACATGCCCAGCATGATTTCGAAGCCACTACGTCCGAGACTTGAACCACAGTCAGCCATGTGTGAATCCAGTGATGTAACCACTATGCCATTTGCTGGTCTCAAAGACATTTTAGACTTACCAAAAAATTATTTTTCTCTGTGCTTTTTCTTTTTTTCTTTTTCTTTTTTTTTTTTTTTTTTTTTTTTTTTTGAGAGAGCAATTTTTGCTATGGGGCACATGTGCATGCCAGAGAGACAGAAAGCAAAAAATCACTCCCCAAGGGGGATGGATACCCTGAAGTCCCTTCTCCATTCTCCTTTTGGGATCTTGGTCATACACACACACACATGCCCAGCATGAGTTTTAAGCTGCAGAGTCCAGGACTCAAACCATGGTTGACCACTTGGAAGTCCAGCAATGTAACCATTGTGCCATTTGCTGGTCCCTCTCTGTGCTTTTTCTAAGTACAAATCTAATCAGATCTCATAATAATGTGGATAAATGTATTCACCTACTGCATGAGCATTACATACAAATGCATCCTGTTCCTATGACCACACAAGGCAGATAGTCCCCCCAAGTAAATGGTCACAGAGCCCAGGGCACAGACCTGCCTGGCTGCTAAGGGTAGCGATGATTCACAGCATAGTGGCCGAGTTCGCAGGCCCATGCTCTGGAGTTAAGGTGTTGGGTTTGGAAGTCTTCCAAGCTGGCTTTTGTGTGTCTTCTCTGTCCTCCCTGCATCTGAATTGGAAAACAGATGAGACAAAAAGTGAAGGTTTGTTGCATTATTAAATCTGCTACAAGTAGTCACAGAGAATCAACAGGATTAACTGAGCTGGGGGTTTGCAGCCACAGTCAGGGAACATCTGTTTTTCACTCATCCATCAGTCCCAGGTACTTGACAATCAGCTGTAGTGTTTCCCCAGGTCAGCCCTGTTCTGTCTGCACATTGAAAGGAAGTGGCCATTTCAAGTGGAGTGTCACCCCTCTGCTCTTTTCTTCCAGGTACAACAGGCTAGCAAGAGAGTGGACACAGAGATATGCCATGTGAGTGCCTCAGGGGCTTCCCGGGAGATGCTGTCCACAGAGCTGGCCGGGCAGAGGTCTTCCATTAGGCTCTGAGCTGTGGCCAGCCACTTACAGACTGTCATCTGTTCTCCACATGAATGCTGGCTGCCTGCTCTCTTGAGCTGCATTGTGTCGGCATCACACCCAGCCACTGTGGCTTTGACGACACCACGCCACTGGTGCCCAGTCAGCCTTGAGTTGTCATGTTCTGCAGTCTCCCTGATTACACTTGAATCTGTCCCTCTCTAGCAGCTCATCTGCTTGTCTTTTGGGCACTGGGCCATGCATGTGTCCCTGCCTGGCCTCAAGCAGTGCCACTGCCCACCATGGCACCATATGGGGCCTCAGCCCACCCCCTTGCCACATGCCCTTTGGCTGTTAAACTCAGGGCTGCCCTGGGTGCCCAGGGCAGAATGGGCTCTCCTCATACCCCATCTGCCACAGAAGCACATCCCCAGCAGTCTCAGCTCATCCTGGAGGCGCTGGGAGCTGGGAACAGTATCCCCATAGGTCCTCCTTGGCAGGGCAGTATGCTGGCCTTTATCCCTCATGCCAAGAAGGAGCAGCAAGTGGTAATGTTGGAATATGAAGCATGTCATGCCCCAAGAGAGACACCTGTCTCTAGGAGCAAGAGCACAATTAAGAGACCCAGATAGACTTGGGTTACATGTTTCTCTGTGATGAGGTTTTTACCATCCTGCCTCCTCCCACCAGGATCCTGCACCAAGTGCAAGTGTAAGCCATTCATAGAACAGAACACAAGGTGGGAGAGACTCTTAACGTGAATAAAAATGCAATTCACTCATAACTCTAAATAGTAGTGGACATGTAAGTCTCCTTGTTTCTTCTAGGCAGAACAGAGGGTGCAGGAATTCAAGTTTTATCAATCTTAAGTTAGAATAGCCTGTTTGGTGACTGGAGTCACCTCCTGGCTTTCTGATACAACACACTCTAAGATTTGCCCTTAGAGATGAGAGCTTTGAGATTAGGTTAGCTAGGGAAAGGGATTATTCTAAGAAAACCTCCAAAGGGAGGAAAATTGAGGGGCTTCATATTTACAGACAAATGTGACCTGATCTTTTCTAAGTTAGTAATAAAGCTAGTCTACTCCCAGGAAGTAATGCTGTGGAGAGGCAATTAAACTCTGTGACCAAATGAGCAGATGGGCCTTTGCAGCCTGGTTGGAAAGAAGTATATGAACCTAGCACCTGGGATAGCCAAAGAAGACCATAGAGATTGACTAGCTCCAGAAACTTCTAATAACCATGGCTTTATCACCATCTGCTTTCCCAGTGAGCCTGCCGAGCATGTTCATACCATCACTTCCCTGGCCAAGGATACACCACTTTTGAGGCTGGGCTGTGTCCTGTTTGAAATCCTTTTGGTACCATAAGGTTACTCTTTAGGTCCTGGCCCCCTGTTCCTAGCTTTGGCCATTGCTTAAATAATACATCTTAATAGATGTCACTGCCAAGGTGTCCACTAGGAAGGCTGTCAGCCTGTGGCTCTGCTGAGCATCTCTGGCATGTGGTCCTGGGATCCTGTTCACTAACAGTTGTTAAAGTGCACCTTGCAGAGAGTGACCCTGTAGTCATGGTGGGTGAGATTGACTCATATGTTAGAGGGGAAACCAGATCCAAGGAGCTATAATCCAAGCATAACAGCATATCTCCCAAGAAACTGATGAGTTTTCCAAGTCCTGTCAAAGTTTCCCCAAGCCTGCCCTCTCTGTTGGAGATACATAGTAGAGAAAGTACAGCCAGCCCTTTGGAGTCCCCAAATGATCACTTAGCCAACTGCAAGCCTGATGGGCTTGTACCTGCCTCAACCCTTGGACAGGCCTGTCCCAGTGGGAAAGTCACCCACTTGTCGCACCTTCTAGAACTCAGAGTGGCCCAGGAACAGGCTCCTTAGGTCAGAAACCTTGTTTCAATATGTGTTATGTTGTAGCAGCTTCCAGATAAAGTAGATCCCAGGTCAGCTAGTGAACGGCAGGCCTGAAAAGCCAGCTAAGGGCAGTATTTTCTCTGTGAAGTTATCAGGGTGATGCATGACCTTAAGCACTTGATCCACAATGAACAGATTACTGCGCTCTCCAAAGGCCTCTTAGTTGGTGAATGAAACTGGGATTTTGATCCTCTGTCCAGCTCTAGGAAAGCCCAGGAGCTCCAAGAACATGGCAGAGGCAAAATCTGATGGAGTCAAAATGCCAAACTGCAGGGGGACTGGTAAGTCACAGCTGGACACTATTAGAATTTCACCTCAGAAGACCAGCAGGTGGCATAATGGTTACATTGCTGGACTCCCACATAGTTAATTTTGGTTCAAGTCCCAGACCCGGCAGCTTGAAAGTCAGGCCTGGCACATGTGCGTGCTTGCTCAAAATCCTGAGAGGAAACTAGAAGAAAAGGAATTATGGTGTGGCCATCTCCCCTGGGGTGATTTCTTACTCTGTCTCTGGTGAACACACATGCCCTGTAGCAAAAATCTCTAAAAAAATATATATAAAAATTCCACCTCAGACTTTCACAGCGTTGGCCCAGCCTGACAGTACAGTCATGGTGTGCAGGACTGCAGTGCTGGAAGCCATGTGGCTAATAACTGCGGCTTTATCACCATCTGCTTTCCCAGTGAGCCTGTCAAGCATATTCCTACCATCACTTCCCTGACCAAGGATACAGCACTTTGAGGCTGGGCTGTGTCCTGTTTGAGATCCTCCTGGTACCATAAGGCTACTCTTTGGGTCTTGGCCCCTATTCCTAGCTTCTCATCATGATAAGGATTACTTTTTTCATTTTCCTCTTTGCTGGAAACCATGTGGCTAATAACTAGTTGGACTCCAGCCTGGTGGACCTTAAATGCACTAAGTGTGCACTCACCCAGGAGAGGGTGTGACTCAGCTCTCCCCTTTCTCTAAAATTCACTTGTGCTCAAATTCCACAGTGCTTCACTGCAATTGCTCAAGAAGGGGCAGATTCCTGTCTCCGAAATTCAGGAGAGAGTCTCCTTAACTCCAGAGTTGCTCAAGAAGGCAGATTCCTGTCTCTGAAATTCAGGAGAGAGTCTCCTTAACTCCAGAAATGGTGCTGGGGCTTACAGAACTAGACTGCACAACACCTGACCTGGAATCTGTCCTTGGTACCCAAAGGGGCAGAAGAGGAGTCCTAAGCTCAGCATGAAGTTTGTTTCAGCTGGCTTTTCTCACTGTAATATGGGTGAGCCTGGGACCAGCACCCCCTTCACTTGCTGCTCTGTGGGAGGAGGAATGACTTCTTGCATTACCCGGCCAATGTTCTGCATTCAGTATACCACTCTGTTCTTTCTGTTTAAAGAAATCACCAACTCTACAGAAATAATTTACATGGCTTATTTTTTAGAGGGAGATTTTTTTGCTACAGGGTGAGTGAATGTGGCCTATGTGAGACCAGCTCAGAGAAAGGTAAACATTCTTTTCTTGGAGTGATCAGATACAGGGGTTCCTTTTGATTTTGAGTGAGAGACAAGGTTTGGAATTTAGTGAAAGGATTTATTTTATTGATCCAACCCAAAAAGGTGGGACACCTGGAAGCGAGAGCTTGTAGGCTGTTTTTTGAGAGAGTGTCATAGGGTACATGGCTTGCTGGAGAATGAGGAGGGAAGTGAGAATCACTGACACCAGCAAAGGGTATACTTTAACAGAGATAAGGGGGCTTGTATATGTCACAAGCCACTGTCCCAAGGGCAAGATGTAGGAAGAGTCATGTTATCAACGAGTCAAAATGTTCTATTAATGTTTGTGGGTATGACTCACCCATTGCAAAGATACTATGCCAGGGACAGGATGTAGGAAGAGTCCTGTTATCAAATGGGCCAAAATGGTCTGTTAATGTCTGTGGGCATGACTCACCTCAGGCCCTCTGAAAAGGATTTTGAAAATAGGAAGAAACAGTCAGACTTATGTCCCCATTTCCTTGCTGACAGATTTTATTAAAAACAAAACCAAAAGGCTGCAGAGAACCTGCAAAACTCCCTATCAGCCCAGACAATGGCTTCCTTGGTTCTCCTAGCGGAAGGTGTCTCCTTCCTATCAGCCCTCCTCCCTCTCCAAGTGTGCCCCATGGCTCCAACTGCCTGCAGAATTCCTCCTTGAGGGCAGCAGCTGGGCCTGCCTCCCAGACAGAGGGCCCCAGTGGAGCTACCCCTTGTCCATTGCACAAGGAAGAACTGCAGCTCGCCATAAGCACAGCACTGCTTGCAAGGTGTGAGGGAGGTGGGGAATCCATAACAGGTAGTGTGACACAGCCCCAGGAAGTCTGGTCAGTACAATTCAGGGCAAGCTGTGAAAGCCCCAAATAAGGGCCTCAGAGGAAGAGAGAGAAGGAACAGAGGTTGAGAAGTGTGCAAGAATGGAGACCTCAGGATGGTGGAGGGAGGGGGCACTTCATTCAGCCAAGGCTGTTTCCTACCCAAGGGCCTAAGTTTCAGGCTGGTCAGCTGACATGCACTCCCACATCTTGCCATTGACTGTTCGCCTTCTCTGTTTAAATCATAGCAGAAACTCAACTAGGAAGACTGTGTGTATATGTGTACTCTATTTATTTTAGTTTTTTAAATTTCCAAGGCACATGTTCTCACCAGAGGGAGAGGGAGAAAATACTTCCCCTATGGGGTGTGAGGATGCTGCAGTATCTTCTCTATTTCTCCTTTTATGTTGGCTTTGTTGTAGGGTATGTGCACTCTCTGAAAAGAGAGGGAAGGTGAGAAATGACCTGAAATGGCCACACTGGAATCCCTTTTCCTTCATTTTCCTCTCAGGATTCTGAGCATGCACACACACACACACACACACACACACACACACACAGCATGATTTTCAATCCACCAGGTCTGGGACATGGCCTTAGCTACAGGAAGCCTGGGTTCTGAGGGCTTTCTCCTCAGGAGTTTGGAAGTTAAGTTTTTTTAGTTTGACTAAAATGTTGAAGTGATCCCAGACCTTCTAGAGGGCCACAGAGAACAGGCTGAGGACTGGTGGCCACATGGAACTGGCAAATACACAGTATTCAAGTAGGATTCCCAGAGAAAGAAGAGAAAAAAGGCATGTGGCACCAAGAGAACACAGAACCTAAGACTGAGGGCTGAACTCCTTAGATTATGGGGATTGAGGACAAAGGCATTGGGGTTTAGCAGGGTCACCTGACGGTCTGGTCTGAGGAAAAAAGAGGCAGCAGAGTAGATGTTGGAGGTTAAAGACAAAAGACCAGAAATTGGGAGGGCAGGGCAGCCGCTATTTATGCAAATAAACACAGTAGTGAAGTCAGGGTGGAGATGTGGGGAGACCTGCACTGTGGAAGAGAAGTCACAGAATGGTTTGGAGGGAAGGGTGAGGGCTACAGCCTGGAGTTGGTGAAGAGATGGAGCTTTGCCAGGACCCAAGACTTCTCCAGGCTGGGATGATGTAACTGCACTGCCATCAGAGATGTCACCTTATGCCTGTAAAAAAACATGCTGGGGTTTGGGGCCAGCAGATGGTATAGTGGTTACACCACTGGTCTCCCACATGACCAACCACAGTTCGAATCCCAGACTCGGTGGCTTGAAACTCTGGGCATGGGCATGGGCACATGTGCGTGTGTGCCCCAGATCGCAGAAGAGAATGGAAGTACTGAAGCATGCCCATTCCCCTGGAGGAGGATTTCTCACTTTCATAGTCTGTCTCACTCTCAAAAAAAAAAAAAAAAAAAAAAAAAAACCTCTAAAAGAAGAAAGAAACTTGCACCAGGTGCGTGTGTATGCATGCCCAAGGTCCCAGGAGGAGAAGGGCGGACA